GGGGGGGGCGGGGTTTTTTCCCCCCCGGAAACCCGAAAAAATTTCCCTTTTTTTTTCCCGGGGTTTGTTTTTTGGGGAAAAGGTTTTTTCAAGGGGTTGGTGGGGGCGCCCCCCAAGGTTGGGTTGCAATTCCTTGGGAAAGACCCCCTTCCCTTTTACAAAAAGGGAAAAGGGGAGAAGAGATTTGCCCGATTCCCCCCCCCCCCCCCCCCGTGGGGTTTTAAGGGGGGGCCCCCCCCCCCCCCCCGTCCGCGCGCTTTAACAACAACATCAACATCGTACGGCAGGTGGGCAGCGGCAAGAGCAGCCTGGTGTCGGCGCTGCTGGGAGAGATGACCAAGGTCGAAGGGCGCGTTTCCATCGACGGCAGCGTGGCGTACGTGGCCCAGACGGCCTGGATCATCAACGCCACGCTCAAGGAGAACATCCTGATGGGCCGGCCTTTCGACGAGGCGCTGTACCAAAAGGTTCTCGACGTGTGCGACATGAAGCAGGTATGTATAGGTGTAGGTGGCTCTCGCATGGGCAGCGTAGAACAGGACGCGTAAGTAAGTAAGTTTGTGGCCGCAGTTTTCTGATCGGTAAAAAATAGTTTAAGGAAATTTCTTTGTGAGCGTTGAGTGTTCTGATCGGTGTAGATCTTTTATGTACGAAGCACGTGGTTGCAGGATTTTTTCCCCCTCGTGCGGAAGGAACGATTGGCCGCGATCGGCGACCGGTCCTGTGGGAACAATGCTCCGTCCTCTCGAGGACGCGTGGTCAATGGTCTAACGACTACGGCATGCATTTACATCAGTTCCCCCACCCCTACCCGCTGCGGTCCAAACATGGTCTCGTTTATTTTTTTTTTCAGGATCTGTCTCAACTACCGGCGGGCGACGAGACCGAGATCGGCGACAAGGGCATCAACCTGTCGGGCGGCCAGAAGCAGAGGGTTTCGATAGCGAGAGCGGCCTACGCCAACGCGGACGTGTACATCCTGGACGACCCGCTGTCCGCCGTCGATGCCCACGTCGGAAGGTACTGCTGCTGCTGCTGCTGCTGCTGCTGTACGGGGGGCGAACGCGAACAGAAACGGGCATTTGTTTTATGAAAGGCCCTTTGTTTTTCTACGCAGGCTTTTGGGGGGGACTCGGAACCGCGTCAACGGGATTGGGTTGGATTTGTTGTTTGAACGCGAGATAAAATATATTTTGCGTCTCCACAGGATTGGGGGAGCGCTCGGACCCTTGTTTTTACGGAATTGGATTTAATGTTTGTTTTGCTCGTAGTGGTGGGCGGGCCTGGCGGTCGCACGCTAGAAACTCCCGCGACTGCTCGCGGCTTTGTGCGCGTATTCTACATGTCTGCCGCTCTTTTGAGAGCGTGCACTGACGACAAGTCAGTTTCCGCGGAGATGCTGTTCCGATACTTACTCGCGCGTTGTATTTCTTGCCTGTATTTCTGTGTGGGCGGGCCTCTTCCTCCTCCCTCCACCTCCGCTCGCCCGCTGCTGTCTCTCTTCGCCCCGCGTACGCGGGGAACACAAGGCATCTGTTCGACGAGTGCCTGGCGGGGTTCCTCAAGGGCAAGACCGTCATCCTCTGCGCCAACCAGCTGCAGTTCCTGCCTCAGACTGACCTCGTGCTAGTGGTCGACGAAGGGCGCATCGTTGAGGTAACAAGTGTGATGTGTGATATGCGAGGTCGATTGACTAACGACTACGGCATTCACGACTATGAGTACACCCCTCCTCCTCCCCCTCCTTTCGGTGGGTTTTCGTCGCTTGGCAACGACGTTGTAAAATACGCCTCGCTTCGTGAGCTCAACAACCAGGTTATCGTTTTTTCTGTTGCCTTTGTTTTTTTTTTTTGCGGTAACCGTGATGGTTTGGTCAATGGTCGAACAGCTGTGACATGAAAAACATGAATGAGCCCTCCCCCCACCCCCGGCTTTGTAGGGATGCGAGGTCAATGGCCTAACGACTACGGCATGCACGGCTATGATTACGCACACACACACCAGTCATGTGTAGAATACGCCTTTTTTACGGCTCACGCGGTGTGCCGATTTTGCGAGAGTTTCGGGAAAGGTAGGATGTTGAGCGCGTGCCACCGAGGCGGCGATGCCTTCCTTTCAGCTCAACGAAAGCTTGGTGGTTTCGTCATACCATGAGTGTCCTTTTATTCTCGTTGTTCCAGCCTCAATGTGGAGGATAAGTTAGGGACGTACGTACGTGCTGAAATCTCGCCCAAGCGATCGCGTTGTCGTGCATCGGGAAGCCCCGTTGTGCCTGCCACGGTGGATTTCTCGCTGGGCACCACTACGTACTGAGCGTGCGTTTCTCGTTTCTATATCGGAGTTGTCTTGATTAATTAGTGCTTCCGTTTTTTTTTTTTCTGGACCGTTTTTTTTTTTTGTCATCATTTTATATCAGGGCTTACAGCATTTGTGCCGCGTGCTCCGACCGAATGCGAACATTTTGTTTTTATCGTGTCTGCGTCGATGTGCCTTTGTGCTGTAGGAGGGGTCGTACGCGGACCTGATGGCGGCGGAAGGCGGAGGGCTGGCGAAGCTGATGGAGATGTTTGCCGAGGACGAGTCGGACGACGAACTAAGCGGCGATGGCAACCAGGTTTATGTGTGTGTGTGTGTGTTTTTTTTTTTTTATGGCTGGCGGCTGTGGCACAGTGTTAACCCTAACCCTAACCCTAACCCTAACCCTATCCCTATCCCTAACCCTATCCCTATCCCTAACCCTATCCCTGTGGCCAGTGTTAACCCTAACCCTATCCCTGTGGCCAGTGTTACCCTAACCCTAACCCTAACCCTAACCCTATCCCTGTGGCAAGTGTTAACCCTAACCCTATCCCTGTGGCAAGTGTTAACCCTAACCCTATCCCTAATAATCCGATCGGTGTGCTTTTTTTGGCTGGCGGCTGTGGCAAGTGTTTGTGTGGGGGTGGTGTCGCGGTCGTAGTTTCTTGTTGTTGTTGTTGTTGTGGTTGTTGTTGTTGTTGTTGTTCTTGTTCTTGTTCTTGTTCTTGTTCTTGTTCTTGTTCTTGTTCTTGTGGCAATCGTGTTTGGGTTGGGTCGCTGCACAATGTCCGCTGTCGTCTACCTCATGTTGCGGGAGAGCATTGTTTAGCATGTGAATACAACGGATCTAGTGGGTGTGGGTACACAGATCTGTTGCGCGAAACGCGAACACAAGCTTAGGCAGTACGCACGACACACGCACGCAACACCAAACAATCGAGAGAGACTGCTGTCCTTGATGTCTGTTGAGGCACAGGAACAGGTGGTGTTTTCGTACCTGTGTGTGTGTTGTCCTCTGATCGTTTTTGTTGTTCTCCTCTGCGCCCCTCTCTCACAACTTTCACTGCTGCTGCTGTAGGCGCTCGACACTTGTTTTTGTACCATGTTTTTCGTTTTGCATCCACCGCTCCGTATGCCGCTGCTCTCAATACTACTACTTGGCTCCCAATGTGTCGGCGCCCTCGCTTCACCCGTCTCTCGTCCTTCTCCTACATCTATCCCCCCCCCCTCCTCCTGTGCGAGGTCAATGGTCTATCGACTACCGCATGAATTTACGTGAATAGACATATATTTGAATCTTTACAGATATGCTTTTACATGACATACCCCCCCCTCCTGCCCCCCCCGCCCCTGCCTTTCAGGAGACCAAGGCTGGCGACGCTTTTGATTTGCTCGGAGACGGGACCGTCCGCTTCGCATCGCGCCCCCCCCCGAGGAGCACCCCGGCCAGGGGTAGCCGCGCACCGCGCCCCCCAACAGCGGGCCCCCCTCCAAGCGGCAAGCCGCGCTCCCTGGCGGGCACGCCGATAAGGGGGAGTCGCGGAGGCAGCCGCTCGTCTTCCGTCGCGGGCGTCGGCGATAGCGAGATTTCGAGGGCAGATAGGTGTGCGTGTGTGTATGTTTTTTTTTTTCGGGTTAGTGTCGACCGCGATAACCGGCTGACCATTGAAACGACGTCAGTCTGATAGCGGGTTAGAATGCATTTTTTTTTGGGGGGGGGGGGGTTAGCCAACTGACTGACCAATGACAGAACGTCAGTCTTACAGCGGAGTAAGAAAACCGTGGTGTGTGTCTGTGTGTTGTTTGGTTGGCATCGACCGTGCTTACCGGCGGATCGACAGAAAGACGCCAGTCTCACCACTGGGGCTAATCGCGTATTAACGCTTCTGCAGGCAATCATCTGGGGCCGCATGAGCGCATGTGTTTGCCACAATTTTTTTAAAAGTACCCAACGGACACTTCATGCCAACTTCTTGGTCGTGGTGGGTCCACGTTTGCGGGGGTGACGTGTCTGCTGAACTCCAAGACATGTTCCCCTTCCCCTGCAGCATGCCTTAAGCGCCCACCCTCCCCGCAATCTCTCCGTCCGCGAGCAAAAAAGCAGCAGTGACAGTTGTGTATGCACCCAAATGTAACTACTGCTACAACCATATCGCCTCCCTGCCCCTGCCTCGTCCAACGATATCCGTGACCCCCCCCCCACTATCTGACCCCTCGTCTTACCGGAATCACCCCGACACACACCAGCACGGACTACCTGTCGCGCTCGGTCCACGACGCATCTGCCACGATGGTGGAAGGGGGCCTCGCGGGGGGATCCTCGCCGGTACCGTCCTCCTCGACGAGCCACCCCGACTGGCAGCTGATGGAGGCGCTCCACTCGGCAGGGTTCGAGGACGAGGACGATGAGGAAGGTGCGTGGCTGGGGGGGGGGGGGGGGGGGGGGGACCCCCAAAAGGGGGCCCCCCCCCCCGGCCTTTTTTGGACCCAGGGGGGGGGGGGGGGGGGAAAAAGGTTTAAACCCCCGGGCCTCAAAAAAATCCAAAACCCCCCAAAATTTGGGGAAAATTTGGTTAAAAAAACCCCAAACACCCCCCCCAAAAAAGGGGGTTGTGACTTTGGATTTTTCACCCCCCCCACCCAACAAACATTTACCCTTTTTTTGGGAAATTTTAAGGGGGAGGGGGGTTTTTTTTTTTTTTTTCCCCCCCCCCCTTAAATTTTACCCCCCCCCCCCCCCCAGGAGGTTTTTTTTTTTTT